AGTTATAATATAGTTATATTCCTCAGTATAGATAATATAGATGATAATGTATTGCAAGCTTAATAATAAAATATTGAAAAGTCATAGTAAAAATATCCTTTTCAGATCTCAAATTTTTTCCGGGCGTGGTGGTGCACACCTGTAATCCCAGCACTTGGGAGGCTGAGGCAGGAGGATTGTTTTAAATTCAAGACCAGGTTGTGCTACAAAGTGAGCTCAAGGCCAGCCTGAACTGCACAGTGAGACCCTGTCTCAAAAAGACAAAAAAGAAACTGTCTTTTTTTTTGGTACTGGGAATCGAACTCACAACCTTGTACTTGCAAAAATCTCAAATTTTATGCATTTTAAATTAGATATTCCTTGAACACAAGTTAGATATATGCAAATTACTGCTTACATATTAATATTAAATCAATCATATATGCAATATATAAAATAAATATAAATTACTCCACTCTAACTGTCCTTCAATCATAGTCCAGTATTTATTTTCCCCAAATACCACTGAATAAGCATGAAGTCGTGCAATTTTGTGCAGATGAATATATAAAATCATGGGGAATCCCCATTTAAATTTATAATACGTCTAACTCAGATTAACTCCCTGAAAAGGAGAACAAATGAAAATTTCAGAAAGGGCATAGTTTTAGAAATTTAGAACTGTGTTACTAATATCTCTTATTTTCTATAGCACAGTCTTATTTACGATCTTAACTTAAAGCCATTTACTTATACTTGTTACAGAAATAATTTCAGGCAATGCTTCCATCCAATCTTGCTTCTTAGAAAAAACAAATTGTATTAGATTACCACCTCCTATATCACATTTCTCTAAATTTGTTTCCTTTATGTGTAAGTTAGCCTCTAGTTCCAGAATGTTAGAATTTAGTCTGTTTCTTCTTATCCAACCCCTTCACGATTTTACATATTGTAAATATCCTTTAAATTCTTATCCTTTTAGATAGAAAAGTTCATTTTTAGGAAGTATAAAAGTTCCCCAATATACTTTTGAAAAGACTCAGAATGTAGAATATATAAAATATGTTAACTTTCAAATTAGGATTGATTGGTTGATTGAATTACTGGAATTGACCCAAGGAGCTCTACTGCTGAGCACTACACTGTAACCCTTAAAAAAAAAAACCTTTACTTTGAGATAGGGTTTTTCTAAATTGACCAGACTGGCTTTGAACTGGTGACCTTCCTACCTTAGTTTCCCCAGTGCTAGAGTTACAGATGTGTGCCACCATGCCCAGTTTAAAGTTAGGAATATTTTAAATCTCTACATTTTGAAACAAACAGTATGTCAGAGCATCAAAAAATCACTTCTTAATTTCTAATGTATTGAATCAAAATATTGATACAGAAGTGGCATCTGCTAACAAAATATGACACACCACTTTATATGTCACATTTTCCCCTTCACAGCATTGCTGATTCTTAAAGCAATAAAACTGTTTCTTTTTGCTTTGATGGAAAAATTAACCTGCCATATGGTGAAGCAAACCTCTGGCTCCTTTGTAAAACCAGTTTTGGTGAGCACACAATCACTCCGATCTTCAATTAGTGTTTTGCAAAACCTTTTTTAATGTTCTGTAAGGCTGTTACACTCTTATGGGGAAACTAATGCTCAAAGTCAAGTGTGAATTTTCTCCTTTCATTCGAGACTAGGTCTTTAGGAAGATGTGAAACAAGTTCCTTACGTGGATTAAATTACAAAGCTATGAAACCATTAGATCTACAGTTTCTTGCACCTGCATAAGTGACCTTTGTCTAAGCAAGCTCAAAACCATGTATATTAACTCTAATAAATATGAACAAAGTGAGTTACAATTTGCAAATCACCACTGAGAAAATAGATCATTATAGTTTAATATCTAATAAAACATTAAAGAAATATAGAAAGGTAGAATGGTGGACCCTTTAAAACCTCCCGTCGCTAAACCAGTAATAATAAATGCACATACATGGCTTTATGTTTGGAAAGCGGTTTTTCGTTCTATTCCAAGGGAGATCAGCATCAGTTGAAGAAAGATCCTGAAGAAACTTTGGTAATTCCTGTTAAATAAAGTAATTGCCAAGTTTACACTTAATCAAAGGGGCACAAAAAAATTCCCCGTAGTAAAGCACAATTCTTTATTCAAAATTTAAATTTCTAAATTAAAAACACAGCATAATGAAGGAACAAAGTCCAGTTAACAGCAATGAGTTTACCTAAACTTTCACCATTATGATCTGAATAATGTTATCAGTCGAGCTACTTCCCTCTCTTGAGATAATATCGGTGCAGACTGGGAAACCCCCAGAGGTAGCAACCATAATAGTGACCCCTTTTCTGCGTTACTCATGATTTCATGGAGTACACATTACTATTTAATATTTTAATGTCTACTTAGTAAGAAGAAGGAAATGATTTATTTTTTGTTTGTTCTTCTCAGGCAGTGCGATTTCATGCCTATTAATTGGTACAACAGCGGTCAGTTTAAGAAGATGCCAAAGGTCAATTCCTGTACCCGATAGGTATTGTTAAATTGATAGTGGAATTGTAAAGGTGCAATTAAGAGTTAACAGACACAGATAAATGGTCAGAAAGATCTGTTATTGACATTTGGGTGAAAAGTTATGATATCTGTGTACCTTGCTTTTTGTAATGTAAGTATCTTTGAGGAACTTAGCGCAAGAAATTAGATTCATTACTTTGTTGAGCTGATGATTTATCTTTATTAAACGTATAGTTTTCCATTTTAGAAGTCTCAATTCTCAAATTCTTTTTTAAAAGTTAAAATGTGTTTTTGTATTTTTTAACATCATTTTAAATTATTTCTTTTAATTCAATAAATCTCCCATTTCAGTTTTTATACAAAAGTAAACCTGGAGAGTTGCTGAAATTTGGGTAGGAAGGATCAATAGTGTAAGCATCTCAATTCCAATGCCTTATCACCAAAGGCTCAGAAAACCTTTTTTTTTAATGAAATGAAACCTACTTTGAAGATAACAATAAGTAATACAACAACCATTGTTAATTTCCTATCATCTTGTTTTGAAATTCTGTATCATTTTTATAGTATTTGTGTTGTTTTGTTTCTGTCTTTGTTATTTTGTTTTTGTTCTTCCCTCTTTAAAATAAAAAAAAATAAAAAGATTAACTTCAAAAAATACAAAGAAATGAAACCCAGAACAGCTTCCTCAAGGCTGTGGGAATGCATAAAAAGGGGAAAAGAAAGGTGTGCTGGAAATTGATTGAAAAGTAGTACCTGTGTTATGTAATTATTTTACATAGGTTTCCATTTATAGATTGAAGTGACTGCCCTTTACAAGCAGTGCCCAATTACCAGGCTGATTGTTTGGGCAGTAATGTTACACTGGGCGGCCTTACTCGGATTAGGGTACACAAGGGCTCAGCGATCTTCTCTAACAGCTTCTTCTCCTACAGTTTGGTCTGTTTTCAGTGGGATTCCAGGAAAGTTAGACTGCTCTTTCTCCTTTTCCTTTTGCATCTAATCCCTCTGAAATACAGTTTCCACTTTCTCTTCTCATTGGACTTCCACTCAACTTAGGTCAACTTTTTTATCCAAAGGTCAACTTTTTTCTTCTTCCTTTTTTTAATTAGTGTATATTTGTGATACAAAATAAAAACATTCATCATGGGGAATTGGTATATATACATATTACATCCTGATCCTCTTTACTGATATTTCCTCTCCCTTCCCATTTTCCCCACTCCCCAGATTCGCTTCCCATATCCACAAAGTCAACCTGCTGTATTAAATCTGTCCAGAATTGACCCTTTCTTCTTTATATATACCTCTATTACATATAGTGTAATTGTAGTTTTAAAAAATATATGTCTATAGCTCTTATCATAATATGAGCTTCTTTGTGATAGGAATTACCATCAGAAGAGTTAATTCTTGCTCAAGGTATTGTTTACATACTGCATATATTCAGTCCTTTTAGTATTCACACCTCCTTGAAGGAGACATTTTCATGTTACCAACCAGGACCTTGAGGCACAGAGAGTTTAAGTAATTCGTCCAAGAACACTTAGCTGGTAAATGCTGCACTGCTCATATCTGTGTGCCAAATAAAATGCTTACCATATTGAATATAGGCATCCAACATATATTTGTATATTATGACATGATAATTTTGCATTAACATACTTAATAAAGCATTAGGATTTTTTTTACATGTTAAAAAAATGACCTCCAAAAAAGTTAAACTAGAAGCTTTCTCTCTATGTGAAAATATTTCTGCTAATAAAACTTTTTGTCCACTGCAGTCATGCATGATGTAATTCTATTTGCTTGTATTCTACTGAAATTATACTTTTGCTCCAGAAAGATTGAGAGTTCTCACTGTATAAATGCTAAGGAAAATTTTATGGTTCCATTGATTTTGTTAAGTCCAGACCCACACTGCTTAAGAAGCATAACCAAAAAGCCGCAGGAAATACCATTAATCTTCTCACATTTTTGTTATTGTTCCCTGAGAGACTGAAGTATTACAATCCTGAATTATTAAAACCAATTGTTTGAGTCTTTGTTTTATAAGTTCACACATTAAGAAATGCATAAAAACAGAATAGAGTTTTTACCGATATGTAGAAACCTACTTAATTTTTATAAAATTATCCTCTAAGTTAGGAAAGATGCTCAGCCTTAAAGTAGGTTACAGATCTAATATATCCATTATGTTTTAAATGCTTTCAATTTTGTAGATATATAAAATGCTAAAACAACTTTTAACTAATTTTATGTATCTCTATAATGTGATATAGCATTTACTCCATAGTAAATTAAAAATAAGCCTTGTAAAACGAAGACATTACGTATTTTTTTTTTTTTTACTTTGGAATAGATCTAGAAGTAATATTATTGTTATAGCTTCTGAAAATATCCAGTTCTGTTGTCGTATTTTTCTATGCCTTTAATGTAAACTAAGCGGACAAATATAAAATGGAATTAGTGTCTAAATCTGAAGTAATTATTTAAATATAGAGCTACAAACTAAAAATTGTCTACAAACAAAAACTGAGGACTACATCACTCTAATTTCACATCTGCATCGGGATGAAGGACCAGATAAGGCAGGCAGACAGTCACTGAGGAGGAGGTCTGAGGAAGAGCACCCCTTTCTGACACTGTAGGTGAGTAATTCTGATCAGGTTGCACCACAGGCTGCCCAGTGTAACGTTACTATCCAAACAATCAACCTGGTAATTGGGTATTGATTATCAAGGCGAGAGTCCTTCATGGCCTTGCGTGCTTAAAATGGACATGAAATGTGACACATGAAACGACTGGAGGTCTTGTAATGTTGTGACAACTGCTGGTTACATACCAAAAATTCTTCTTGAAACTTTAGGTTGTTGTTTGTGCAAAGCTCTTCAACATGTTGCAGGAAGGATTTCTTGCTTATTGGTCTCCAAGTAAAGAAAGGTATAAAATGAAGTCATGTTAGATCATATTTTTTGCTCTGGCTGCACTGTTAACACTTAAAGGAGAAACACTTCACAGACCACAAGCAACATGTTCCTTTAAAGCCCCTCTGTCATGTTTATAAAGATAACTTTCTTCTTTTTAAGTTCACTTTCTCTGCACTGACAGTACAAAAAAAATTCTTTCAATTTTTCAGTGACTTTAAACGAAGGATTAAACATTTTAATGAATAAAGTTTTTCAAGTAAATGTAAGAGCATAAAGTTATCATTGAATCTGAAAGCACATAATACCTCTTTGTCATAGAGACAACATTTTATACATCACAAGGTTTTAGAAGATATAAAATATTGCAGTGACCTCATTCTCATAATGACATGGTTTTTAAGCCCCAAGGAGTTTAAATATCCCCATATTACTTCTCAAGCTAAAATACAGACATGCAGGCTTCACCCTAGAGAGAGAGAAAGCATTTCTCCAGTTACCATGCAATTAGTCATGCTTTTATGATTTATATCCAGCTTAGAGGGGTTTTCTAACAAACATACAAAAAGGGAACCACACAATAAGATTCATTGAGTCAGTGAATCTAAAGTCAATATTCAAAAAAGAAGAAAAGTATTTCACAAACTTACTTGATGGATTTTCTATAACTAAGTAACCTGCAACAGAGATTGTGTTAAATTCATTGTAAGTGGGAAGGGACAGGTCATTCTGAAAGAGTTCTAGATTAAAATCAGAAAACTAATAAATCAGTCCTGTATAATGCATTATGCCTTTAACATGTAATCATTATTTTAAATTCTACTTCTTTTTAAAAAATGACTTTTACTTGGATTCAAATATGAACAAATAATATTTTAGCTTCTTTCTGCGAAGTTGTTATTTTACAGTACTGTTAAGCATGTTTTGGACATTGATTGAAAAGCAGGTAAGTTTTTAATATAATGCATTGTACATAGTGGTCTAAAAGAGGGATGTAACTTAAAAAATATTCTCTTTATCTTTAGATAGAGCTGAATCTGGAAGAATGAACCTGTAAAAAATGACATCATATTGCTCAAGCCTTCTTTCATGAGTGACTTTAGATGAATATACAATCGCAACAAATCTCGACAATTTGTTACCTTTTGTGATATGTCATTGACCAAGTTACTTATAACTGAAAACAGCTTAATGATTTTAACAGCATAATAGATTATGCAACACACAAACTTAAGAATGAATATATTATTAGTGAAATGGTTATCATGCACAACAAATTTACATTGCAACAACTACAGAAGGCATAAATATATGAAATCAAGAGAACTTCAAAATTTTGCATTCTAAATAGTGCTAAGAAGGATTTTACATAATTTTTTAAGAGAAAAGTATAAGATGTGTTTGTTTGTTTTCATTTTTTGAGACATAAAGTCTCACTGAATAGGTCAGGGGATCTGTGGGCTCACTATGTAGCCAAGCTGGCCTCAAACTCATGGCAATGCTCCTGTCTTAGCGTCATGAGTGCTGACATTACAGGTGTGCCCTACCACACTTGGAGAGATGTGGGTTTTTTTGGACCTGAAAACTCAGGACCTTGTCCTTACCAGGCAGGCTTTGTGCCCCAGCCCCTGATGTGGGTTTTTTTTCTTTAATAATAGATGAATGAGAGAAAATAATTAGATTTTAAAAAAACATAGCGAACACTTTAGAAATAGTCACAAAGAAGTATGTACAATGAGAAAAACATGAATTAATATTTCATTACAAAAGAGGAATTAGTGAAAAATAGGGCTGATGGCAGAGCCATTATGAAGCATGATAACAGACTTCTCAGTCATAATGAGTATCCTCAGGGAGGATATATCTCCCAGCTTCAGAGGGTATAAGCTGGTGTAGCATCCTTTTATCAAACATGGTGTCAAAGTGCCAAGACAGCAATGGCTAAATAAAGAGTCACGATAAATAAGATTAAATGTTTCCCACAATATCCTAGAGTAATTTTAAGAAGGTAATAGAGAACTTCTGACCTTAATAGATAGCTATAGAGATAGATGAATGGGCTATCGAATCAGAAGAACTCTCGATTTGGGAAAGGGAAAAGAGTGTCTGAAAACTGGAGATGTTTGTGACACAGTAATAGATGCAATTGTGAAAGAGAAAGCAATCAATCCCTGTTGGAAATAATTACCATCTAGCTAAGAGCAACAAGAAGAGACACAATGATGAGTTAGACTCACACTACGTATTCCCCCTTAGATAACTGGTGATCCAAGGTTTCTATACAATCATAGGAAAGGAAAGAGTATCGGGTGGGGCAAACCCTAAGTGAGCTTGTCATAAACAACTAAGATGTTTGAATTAGCAAGATGTGTTTCCCTGCTACTGCATGGATGTAAGAAGTCTTGACCTAAGTGAAGATTACTTACAGGGAATGCTGTGCTGTTTGAGATTGGTTAAATTCAAACATGCTACACTGCATTTAGTAACACATCTACCTATTTAAAGATAGAATGCCAGGACTCAGGGAAGGGTTTCTCTCTTTCCCCAGAAGGTCATGAATTATTTGAGGTTGTATTGGGAAAACATTTTTGCTAGGGTAACTGCAATCTAATATAGACACAAGTTTCCGGGAAGCCTTCAATAAGTAAGAATCAGTACACATTTGTGAAATCTCCAAAAGACATTAAACAAAAATAATAACATCAAAGAATAAGCCATAAGTAGCTAAAGCATTCATTTTATTATTCACAACTTTTATCTTTTTTCAATAATAACTTCTAGTCTTCATTTGAGAATAACTAAAATACATTTTTTAAACCCATTTCTTTTCAATGGAAAACTCTATAGAAATTTTAATTTTACTGTTTGTATTTTATTTTGCATTTGAAAGCCCCCTCCTAAAGATTCCAATTTTAAGCCACAGCTGGCTAAGTATTGACTTTGGGCGGATATATGTAAATTCTCACTATGTCTGATGGCCTCACTGACTTCAAATACTGGCTTCAAAAGATGGCAACTACGTTATCTTGAGCAAGTTACTTTATCTTTCTGTTCTTCAATTTCCTAATTTGGGAAATAAGGGAAGTATACATAAATCAAAATGATACATGTAAAGTGCTTGGATTAAGCCCTTGGTTTTAGCAGCAAGGAATATAGGTTACTACTATTAGTATTATGATTGCTGTTTCTATTTTTTTTTGTCACACAAGCTGCTCCTGCTCATATTACTCTACAATTAACACTGATATAAAGAAGAAACTTTTTGTGATTTCCAAAACAATATTTTAAAAATTTGACTCAAAAGTGGCCAGATTAAATTGTGCTAAATGAAACAGCAAGATCTCTATTGCATTTTTTAGTAATCAGGGCCCTTGCATAAACAGTAGTCTCAAATACCTAGACTTCAGATCCAAGTTTGCCAGTTCTCAGTTCAAGGTCCCAAACACACCATCAATATAATTAATCCAGTTTTTATACAATCATCTGAAACATTTCTAAACATGCCCACAGTTCTGTCATTATTCCCTGCAACTCACTCTTACATATGTTGCCTACAGTCTATTTTTTGACATTCCTCCTCTCAATTTGATTACTCTTTCAAGTATTGTCCTCACAAGAAAATTCTACTTATATCTTAAAATCTGATTCAGATGTTAACTTCTGGTGGACCTTACAATGTTTTACATGAGATAAAATAACGTTTCCCTTCTGTATAATAAAATATCAAGGACGAGTCATCTACCTTGTGGTATTTGAGTACATGCACTAAAGATCTATGCATTAGGTTCACATACACTTAATGGCTTGGACAGGATTAACACTCAGCTTACTGCATATTCCTCCTAACCTTACTCATGGTAAGATTAATGAATCCATCATTATTAAATACAAAATATAATTCAAAAGCTTTAGATAAGCATGATCAATAGATCCATCAATATGGAGTACATGGTCTAAAAAAAACCCATATCAGATCATCTAATACTAGAAGCTAACTATAGAGTGCTAAGCACTTTGTTAATTAGATATGAGAACAATAAAACTGATCTTGCTGGGGCTGGGGATTTAGCTCAGCGGCACAGCCCCTGCCTGGCAAAGGCAAGGTCATGAGTTCGATTCAAAAAAAAAAAAAAAAAAAAAAACTGATCTTGCCTACTCAAGATGCTAACTGTAAAAAAGAAGGGGAAGAACATTATATTTTGTCTTTGTTCTCTTTTCTGTCACTTTCTACCTAAACCCTCTGACTTCATGTAATTTGTTCTTCATACTTATCTGGACAGCTAAAATTGAGAAGACATTTTGTTACAAATCATTGGTTTTAAGTAAAAAATTAGATTCCCTTATCCCATTGTCTATATAGATCACTGCTTTAATGCTGAGCTTCATGTTGTATGGGTGTATCTATCCGTTAAGTACTGGTTGCATTCTAAATTTACACTTCATTGAGGTTTTATTTTTTAATTTATTTATTTTTTTGTCTCACTGTGCAGTTCAGGCTGGCCTTGAGCTCACTTTGTAGCCCAGACTGATCTCAAACTCGCAATGATCCTCCTACCTCAGCCTCCTGAATACTGGGGTTACAGGTGTGTGTCACCACACCTGGCTTCCTTGAAGTTTTAAACTTTTATTTTTAAATAGCAAAATCTATTAATTTGAAAGTTTTATACAATTAGAAAAGGTGAGACATGCTATGAAAGAAATGCATTAATTATTCACTAATGAAATAATTTAATGGTGATTTAAGTGTTCCTTCCTTGTAGGAACAGTTAGTTAGATGCACATTAAAAAGTCTCACAGGGGCCTGGGGATTTAGCTCAGTGGCAAAGCGTCTGCCTGGCAAGCGCAAGGTCGTGAGTTCGGTTCCTGGTACCAGAGAAAAACCAAAAAAATAAAAATAAAAAATCTCACAGGAATTGGTGTACATAAAAATCAACAGTGTTTATTCAGGAGTACTGTTTTAAGATCAAATGATCTGAGGAGACATTCAAAGTCAGATAAAAATTTATTTTCATTTAACATGTTAAACCCTTTTTTTAAAATGCTAAATGGACATTTTTAGACTGAATTAACACTTTATTTGCTTATGTAAATGAAGGTTACTGTCAAATGATATTCAGTTCATTAGTGGATAAATCAATTTGGGTATTGTCCAGATTTCAATATGATAACTGACCACTTTCCAATATAAAGGGCTAAACACTATTTTATTACATAAATCTTAGCTGTCTTAAGTCCTATGTTTTTTCGTGGAAGTGGGTATTATTTCACACCTGGGCTCATTTCTTTAAAGTCTATCAAAAACTGAAATTCCACTCAGATTACTCTTGATGGATCTAGAGAGAAACCATTTATTTATGTTGGCAGTGGCGATTGAAGGCAGTGCTGTCACAGAGACTCAGCTTTCTTCCAAGATCAATTAGCCGAAATCTACAGGGAATTAAAATAAAGTCCTAATAGAGAGCCACAGATGATAGCCTATAGATGAGAAGCTTAAATTTGTATTACCAGAGGCATAGGACAGATTGAGAAGCTTTATTTTTTTTACTTAAACAGTTAAGTCAGGTTAAAAATAAAACAAACTCAAATTTATTGCCTTGATATTTTATGTATTTATAGACAATATACACTAACTATTCAAATAACAAACTTTTGAAGAATCTATCTTTCTGGAAAACTATGTTAACATTTTCCAAGTTTTGTAAAATATTGAATGTGATCTTTCAGTTTATATATTTCATCATCAGTACTCAAAATTTTTATATTGCTACTGCTGCAGTAACATTTTATTATTTATCCAAAGCATTTACTGGAATGCTTTTAGAGATATCTTAATTTTTTCATTGATTTCACTTGTTCTAGGTTTTTAAATAGTGCTCTTTCAGATTTTTATTCTTTTACCTGATCACCAATAAGTTTTTCTTGTTCTCAATATAAACTAAAAATATTATTCTAACCAATGCCTGGTTCTCTACAACAGATTCTAAAACTCCATCTTAAAAGGGAAATATACCACATAATCACTAATATAATACTTTTCTCAATTAGAAAAATAATCAGTGAGTAAGTGATATCTAGTACTTTCCCAACATGTCTTCTCATCTCTGTAAGTATAAATCATTAGGAGGAGCATGAACGATTTGAATGGCAGTTCATTGGCAGTGTTCCTTCCTTTTTTATGGTGGTATTTCCAGTGCCTGGCAAATGATAGGGACCCACTTCAGATTTCTTTCATTCTCAAAAAGTGGATGGTCTTAGACTGAGACAAGAGTGCAAAATTCTTTCTGATCGTCAATGGGCTGAGGTGAGATTCCCATTGTGGCAGGAGTCAAATTTGCCTCTTTAACTAGGCCTCTCCACACCAGTACATTTGAAAATAAATTCTTGACAGATGTTTTATTTCACCAGCCATGTATTTTAAATTAAAACCATGGGCATAATTTAGTAATCTCAAGGGCAATGGGGAAGAAGCAGAGAAAGAGAGGAGAGATTGCTGACAGCTGTGTGAAGAAGTGGACAAGCATTCTCAGCAAAGACT